GAGAATGCGCCGTCCCAGCAACCGGGAAGCCCGACATAACCACGGGTAGCTCGTGACCTGGTGTAACGCTAGGTATCAGGGTGCGCCGTCCCAGCAACCGGGTAACCCGGCGTAACTACGGGTAGCCCGTAGCCTGGTGTAACGCGGTATAGGTTTCGGATCAGGAGTTGTACTAGGTAGGACTCGGGATCGGGAACTGGTAACGCTACGCTCGCCGGAGCGCCTTATATACCGGCGGCCGGCCTCCCACTCACGCGAGCCGGTGCGTGGTGGGGCGGTCCCACGGTGGTGCCGCGACACGGGTGTGGGAGCTTAGGGGCGCCATCGGCGCCGAGCCTCAGAATTGCGGGCGGCTGGTCGGCCCGCGAGGCTGGTAACGGTATCGTTACAGTTTTGTAACATTATTGTTGTAATGGTATATAATTGCCGTGTAAAGATTCCATTACATCAAAGTTAACAGTAACATCGGTGCGAAACAGATACACGACAATGATACACATCCATTATGATGATCAATAGCTTTTGTGTCGATTACCATTCAGACAACATGCATATATAAAGGATGTCTTAAAGATGTCATAAAGACATCTTTTAGACATGCATCAACCCAGGTAGAAAGGTGTCGTCATTATAACGTCATTTTAAGGTCATTTCTCGTCATATGACGTCAGTCGACTAAATAATGACGTAACACAGACGTGATATTTTTGACGACATATTAGCGTTATAGAAATAACGTCATTTAATCGTCTTTTTAAGATTATTTACTGATTAATTAACTAATGTTGTTAAAACACGTCAATATTAAAATTAACGTATTTATATAAGAAAAATAATAAATATTTTATGGTTCTTATAAAGTTTACACGACTTTCTGTTCAAAACCCTTAAAAATATATACGGTATTATCGTTGTTAAATATAAGTAGCAAGGTGACGTCAAATAACGTTTTAAAGACGTTTTATTGACGTTACAAACGTCATTAAAAACGTCATTTGACGTCACTTTGCTATTTTTGATTTTTGCTATTTTTGAATTTCCAGAATAATAATCTAATAATTTTACTAACCTGAAATTTAGTAATTTTTACATTTTATAAAATAAATAAATTTAGATATTTCTTTTGAAAATTGTATTCGAAATGTTGACAGATAACAAAATATATCATACAGTATCTGAAAATATTGAGGTTTAAATAATTTTATTATACTAAATTAAATTATATAGGTATATAATTATTATTCAACGATTGCATTGTCACTTTTAATATATCCAATCATTCGTTAATTTTTTTTATATATTATTTGCAAAATCAATAAGAAAAAACAATACTGATGATGAAACGCGGGAATTGTAAAACTTATATTGAAAATTGATTTATTGAAAAGCTCCTGCCAATTTGGTGTTCTATGTTTTATCGATAAATATATATATTATATCCCTTTTCCTAAACTAACTTAGACTACGTTTCATGTGCGTGTGTGTGTGCGTGTGTTAATTATAACATTTGTAGAACCAATTACATTTTATTGCACATCCAAAGTTAAACGAAGACAGATGATCGCGAGCGTTGCGATCGCCACATGAAACGAACGTTAACCTAAGCTAACCTAATCTTATAATAAACGCGTAGTCGGTGTTGGATGTCGGGGATCGTGTTCAGTCTTGTTTGTAATATCATCAACATAACTTCGCAAGAGAAACTAGTGCCCTATTTTAGACAATTTCCAAAACTTCAGTGAGTGTCTTCAAGTTAAAAAAGAAAGAAACGAATATATATGTATAATATTATCGAGTTTGACCAGGCAGCAGGAGGTGGCCTAGCAATTGTTCATACTAAATGGCTCACTCCGCGCAAAAAAGAAGTATTTTGGCCTCCTTATAAAGACAATGGGTCTTTTAAGCGAGCATTAAAAATGGGAGAAGAAATCAATGAAAAGACATGGCATATTTATGGAATAGATCGAAGTTTCTATGAGACTGGTAAATATTTAAATCTAATAACTAATTTCGTTATTTAAAATTTATTTTTAGTTTGATATATAAAACCGAATCTCACTTGAAGAATCTGAAATGAAGAATTTAATTAAATTGGTGCTTAAAACAGAACTAAATTTGAGAAGTCGAATTTATTTAAATATCATATACCACATGTACTTATAAAAATATCATATGAACATTATGGAAATATGAACTTTTTTGTAAACTTATTATTATATTTATGTATTATATTATATATTACACAGCAAACACACACAGATATATAACAGTGTTATATATCTACGTTACATGTAACGTACATATTAGTTGTAATTTCCCATCTCATAGATGTAACATTTGTAATATAACATATTTTACATTGTAGTTATATTGTAGCATATCGCATATAGCACAAATGATTAGTTCATTTTTGTGCTATATACAATGTAACATGTTTTATTACAAATTTTACATTTATGATGAGTGAGGAATTGAAACTAACATGTTGCATGTAATATACGTGTATTATATTTCATCTTATTTAACAATTATATATCTGTATTTACTGCGTATAAACCATTTTATAAATATCATATACTATGAAACTTATAAATTAATAGAAATGTTAATAGAAAGAATTTATAGATAAAATAGAATAGAAAATAGTTAATAGCAAGAAAACTTATAGAAACTATGATTTATAATATAAAATATACAATATAATGCATAAATATAATTACATGTTTACAAATAAATTTACATTTCCATAATGTTGATATAATGTTAACAAAACTATGAACATTTATAGAATATAAACTGAAAAATAAATATATTTTATTTGTTTTTATTCTTTTAACAGTTGCATTTCAAAACTTAAACATTTTTTTCTAACTTAATTGATTAGTGTTATTTTATTTATATTTTTAAATTATATTTTAACTTTAGTTTATATGTCATTGTAATTTAAAAATAATCATTAAAAGCATGAAAATAAATATTATTTTATCATTCATGAAATATTTCAAATTACATAATCCAATTTTACATTCGATTCATTAAAAAATCTTTTACTATTTCAAAATATTAAGTGATATTTGGATGCTGGACTTATAATATCTTTTAATCAAAATATTTTAGTTGTATTTATAAATTGAGTGATTAATTTTATAATTTTAGCTCAATTGCATTTAATAATAAAGAATTTAATAAATATAAATAAAAGAAATTAAATTATTAAACATTTCAGCTAACAGAAAAATAATCTAAAAACATAATTCTTTTAACAATTTTAGATGATTTAGATAAAGCTAGACGCAAACTTTCCTTGGCAGAAATTACAAGTGATCTTAATACTGAACCGGAAGAAAATTTACAACCTCAAAAAAGGATTAACCAAAAAGACCAAACGATAAAAAAGACCAAAACGATTATATAGTGATGAAGAGAGTGAAGACAAAGAATATAAATTTAAGCGCCCACCAAAAATCACTGTACAAGCATTAGGTAAATGTCATTAGTATGATCATTAAGCATTTGACAATTTCAGAACTTCAAAATTATTTTTTTTTAATTAATTGCGTGATCTAAGACAACTTTTTATATTAAAAATTATTTTTGACTTTGTTTAAAAGTTTTTATAAAATATTTTTAGATTTAAGTTATAACCAGTTTCTTATTCTCAAAATATTCTAAATAATTTTTTTTAGCATTATTATATAAAAGTAAGAAATAAAACATCTTTGTTTGATATAAGCATATTATTGAACTGTAAATTCTATTATGTTTGTATAATTTGAAATAGAAAAGTATATACAGGGTGTCCTAGACCACCCGTACACCCATTTTCTTTTTTTACCTTTGTGAGGTTTTTTTAGGTGTTAGAAGAATATTTAGAGAACAATAATAATTTATCAGCTTTGGTAAGTTAAATAGATTTTACTTTTTATTTACACACACACACACTCACATACACACACACACACACACACACACACACACACACACACACATAGCTATATATATATATTGATATATATTTGGTTTGCATTAGAGTTCCTATTTAGCGTCACTAGGAGGCAATAATATATCTTCCCGAACAAATCGAATATTAAAGCTTATCTTTACCGATGATTTCGCATCTCAATATACATGTACATACAAAAATACACATAATTAAATACTTTTTCTATTTATAAGATACACAATATCTCATTTATACTCTATAAAATAAAGATAAATAAATTAATGATTAAATTAATTATTATTATTATGTAGGAAGACGAGAATAAAAAGAATAAAAGTCGAATAAATAAGAGAATATAATAATGGGAAAGAAAGAATTCAATAAAGAACGAACAGAGAAAGAGAATGAAAGAGAGAGAGAGAGAGAGCAGTGAGAATGAACGTGTAAACGAATATGCGAGGAGCATGATATATATATACAGGGTGGTCCTCGTAACGGTCGCCACGATTTTTAAGGCACTTACAATAATCTGACATAAAAAAGTCATAAACAGAAATTTATCATTTCCTAATCGGCAACAAACTGTAATAATAAAAATTGACCAAACATTTTTTTTCCATAAAAAAGCAAGGTCACCTTCAATTTTTTTAAATGGAATTGCCTACTTTTTATTGCATATTCTTGTAGCTTATCTCATGAGCTTTTCAAAACACTATAATAAAGTATTTTTTCATTAAGTACTTTTTGAGTTATTTTATATTTTA